GGAAAACTGAGACCAGGAGAAGGATAGAGACTTGTTCAAGATCACCTAGTGGGTTAGGAAAGATGACAGCAGTTTCTGGAGAGCCTGCCTGGCCAGATACTTCCCATAGTGCTGTCTTTGTGTTGTCATGGGCTTCCTGATCTGTGGCGTTTGTTAACAATCAGAGGTTGGGCTTGCACTTGGCTGATGCTCTGAGGTGAGATGATTAATCCTGGCTTCCTTTCAATTCCTCTCTTCCCATGGGGAAGGCCTGTGTAAAAGGGGCAGGTCCAGTGTCTCTAAGCAGAAGGCAAAACCAAGCCCTCTCAGGGAGTAGGTACATACCTGTACACACATATCACGTGTTCATAGAAGTACCTGCTTCTGTTCGCTTTTTGTCTAAATCATTCTTTCCCTTCCCCAACAGGGCTGCTTAGTCACATTGGGCACTAGCCTACTACTGTCAGGGAAGGAAAGAGAGATAGCCAGGACCTCTCTGACCACAAGTCAGAGCCTAAGGCCACAACCACCAAATCTCCACTGCCAATTGTCTGTCAAGAAAGTTCTGTGTTCCCAGAGGAGCTCCTTCTTCCTTTGAGCCTTAGTTTCTCCACCTGTAAAATGCACCCCCCCCTTGAATCCTGACTGCCTGTAACTCTGGAGTCAAGGCTCAAAACTGACTATTCTGCCTGAAATGGGGCCTTGGCTGATATGACACTGATGGCCTGCCAGACCTCAACTAGTTGCCATAAGCTTTCTCAACCTCAATTTCACCACCCATAAAGTGAGAGAAAATTAATAGCAGTGTGTATTCCATTGTATGCATTAATATGCAAATTGTGCTTTGTACAGTGTGCCTGACACAAAGTAAACATCTAGTAAATGATAGTTTCTATGATAATAGACTAGAGTCCTAGTGTGGTGCTGTAGGATAAGGTTCGTTTGAACTGCAAGATCAGTGGTTCAAATTCACCAGCTGTGACCTGGAAGGTTTGTGCGCCACCCACTGGACTCCAGAGTGATGCACAGTTCTGCGCTGTGGCCACTGTCAGAGCCTGAATTTGAACTAGCCTCAGTGAGTCTCTCCAGTGCCCAGGGTCTTCACAGCCCTGCTCCTCAACCCATTTCACACCCTGGAGCTGTCTGTCCTTAGCATGAAGAAGCCCCTGTTTTGTCAGAGTTACTCCGTGATCTAAGAAGGGAGCCAGCAAGGGTGGGCTGATTGGCCACAGGGCAGAGGTGCAGGAGGGAGATAGGCCCCCTGGTTTGGGGGGACCGGGGTGGTGGGTATGTGGGGCAGATGGTCAGGCTATAGTACCAACCATCAGCCCAGCTGCACAAGATCCCTCCCTCTGGCTTCATGTGAAGGCCATGTGTGCACAGCTGGGCCTGGCCCATATGCAGGGCGGCTCTGGCTCCAGGTGGGAAGGGTCAGAGGGAAAGACTAGCTGTACTATGGTCCTGGGCCTTCTGGCAGGACCGTCTGGTTCACAGGCAGTGCCTACCCTAGAGGCATCTGGCATGCAGGTAGATTTCCTCTTGCCTGTTCCTTATGAAGCTCTGTCATTGATGAAGAAATGGCAGCATTGGCAGGCAGAGGCCCGAGGCAGGATCAGCTGAGGTGCCCCTCCTGATGAGAGCAACAAGCGAGTGTGGGCCATGCACCCTTCCCTGCTTCACCTGGAGTCTCCCAGGGGGTCCTCATGGAGTGAACTCAATATGATCCAGGAGCGGGCATGGGGATGGCACCCCAGCACAGCACCACCCTCATGCTCAGACATCACAGGGTGCCAGGAGACCTTGGCCCACCCCATAGCAGCTAGAGCACTTCCCCTAGGGAATGGGGAGCAGGTCTGCCTGAATTGAAGGTGCCATCCAAGTGCATGCATGAGGACAGAGGCCTCTTCCCTGCCCCCCCACATTGCCTTCCCGATTTACAGGTAAGCACGTTTATAGGGAAGTTAAGCAAATGGCTCAAAGTTATAGAGTGCTTAGGAGTTCTGCACCATGTCTGTCTGACCCCGGTTCTCAGGATCCAGCCTTGGAGCTGTTTAGAACATTGTTGTTGTTGTTAAGTGCTGTCGAGTCAATTCAAACCCATAGCAACCCTGTATAGGGTTTCCGAGGAGCAGCTGGTGAGCTTGAACCATCAACCTTGCAGTTCAAATGGCTTTGCAGTCTGGCGCATTAACCCACAGCGCCACACCAGGACTCCTTTAGAACATTAGGATTTTAAAAGATCTGTTGTGGCGCTGCAGGATAATGTGCTGGACCGCAAGGTCAGTTTGAACCACAAGGTTGGCAGTTCAAACCTACCAGCTGCTCCTCAGAAACCCTATACAGGGTCACTATGAGTTGGAACTGACTCAGTGGCATTTAACAACAATAAATTTAAATAGACAAAGGAGTCCTGATGGCACAGTGGGTTAGACATAGGGCTGCTAAACACAAGATCAGCAGTTCAAATCCACCAGCTGTTCTGCAGGAGAAAGGTGACGCTCCCATGAAGATACATAATCTCAGAAATCCAAAGGAGCTGTTCTACCAGTCACAATTGACTCAGTGGCAGTGGATTTATTTTTGTTGCTTAAGTCGACTGGACAGAGTTCTTGCACAGTTCTGGTGGGGTAACTGCCCCCCCACCCGCCAGGACCCTAACTCTAACTGATACTAAGCAGTGGTGGTGTTGGTGTGCCGTGTAGTTGGTTCCGACTCATAGCAATCCTGCACAGGGTTTCCAAGGCTGTAAATCTTTACGGGAGCAGAAAGCCTCATCTTCCACGGAACAGCTGATAGTTTCGAACTAGCTGACCTTGAGTTTAGCAACCACTACGATACCAGAGCTCCTTAT